TAGCTCTTCAGGCCACTTCTGGGTAGGAATCAAACATCAAGAGCCAAAATGCCGTGACCGCTTTCTCGTCGAACATATCTCTTACTCTTGAATCAATCTTCAGTTCAAGAAAATCATCTTGACAATCATCAGAAACATTTTCAACTGATAATTTGAATGGATTTCGCACTAAATCCAACTCCTCATCACCGAGTTCAACGAAATATCAGCTGAATTTAGTTTCCAGTGCTAAAATGCTGCAAAATTTGACTTTTTTGCAAATTTTGGAAACATTGGGTCATCACCACCAGCAGCAGAACTGATGACAGTTTCTCAAATACCGCAATATATTTTTTATCTTAACATTTTTCTTCAAATTTTCCAGCTTGCTCATGAACGCTTTCAAGGAAGCAACGAATATTGTGATGGTTGTACTCCTTCCCTGCATCTGAAGAATCAGTTTATTCAGCTCTTAAATACTGTCAACCAAATGGGCAAGACGCATGGTACGTATCCCTGGCAAAAAATTTCATTTTACCCTAAACTTCAAAAACGATTTCCGTTCATATCTAAGCCTAAATCCTCGATCACTTACACTTTCTCTTCAAAGCGACCGTAGATTAGTTCAAAAGAAGCAAATAATTACATAATTTATGTTAATCCATAGACATCATTAATTTGGGTACTTTGTCTTTGACGCTGGTATCCTAGATGACAAATAACAACAACAATGCATCACTGCTTGAAAAGTAGTGAGTAGAGAGCTTCTCGTTTGACAAAATTCACTATTTGAACAATTCGATCCAAAATCTTTGCTAGTGGATGTGTAAGTATTTTTGAGGTCTGTGTCTCAGCAGGATCATAAAACGAATGCCTTTCATTTTTGGAGCTCACTATTTCATACCAACGTGAAATCCAAATTTTATCCCCAGCATAGCTAGTGCTCCATCTGTACAGCACCCACAGACATTATCCCTGACTTTCTGATTCAAAGAAAAAGTAAACCTTTCAAAAAAAATCTTAGCACTTGGTAGTGGTTTCAACAGAAGAACAAAAGATAAACTCTTCTTTAAATGAACCTAAGTGAACATATCTTGCAAACATCAGAAGTTGCAAAAACGATGCCAGATCGGTCGATTAATCCAGTTGAATTGAAAATAAGCCAAATGCTACAAACCTGATCTCGTGCAAAACTTGATCCTTTATGTCAATGACCATGTTGCTGATTCTCTGTTGGACAGTACTGCATGATAATCAAATTGATGCCTAGTGTTTCTCTATTCCAAACTTCAATCAATTTCCTAACAAAATTTTACCATTTCGGGAGCGCAAGGATTGATCACCGTTTCTCTGATTTTATGTGGGTTTTCTGCTTTGCTATCTCCAGTACTACGACAAAAAAGGCTTCAGTAACCTTGTGGTTCTTTTCTTTGAATGTTTCTGTTGAATTCAACTTCATCTTTTCAAGAACGTTCAAAAAAGCTTTTGTCCTTGTCCTTGTGTTGTGGATGAACATTCTGCAAGTGTCGCGTCAACTTCGTTGGTTTCATAGAATCACTTGACCAAGCTTTTCACAAATAAAAACTGAGGCCCTTTTTCTTCATCGATGGTGAAGGATATGAATCCATACTGAATATATGAATAGTTGTACCAACTTATTTGACACTCACGGTTGGCAAACAAGAAAAAGTCAATTACAACCATAAACGGAATATTTCCACAGATAAAAAGCGAAGTATTTTTCATTGCTTTTAATTTAATCTGTTACACACAATAAAGTGATGTCCTGTAGATTATGTGCAATCTGTAAAAGATCAATATTTCAACAGTTTGAGCCTGTGGTCCCAATTACTTCCTCACCTCCTGGTTGAGAACTTTCGTACCAGAACAAAGGAGATGGTGTGCTACACGCGGTGTAAATCCGGAAAAGTGACGAGTAAGTTATTCTTAACGGCGGTTTTAAAAGCTAGCAATCTGCTAGAGAACAAATAATAACAGTGTTTATTTTTGACAAACACTAAAAGTTATTGAAGTATATGAATATCAATACACCGAACGTCTATAAATCATCAAGTAAACAAAAGTTCATGGTAAACAAAATGAGACTCTGGAAGGAGCACGACTGTACCGTGTGGACTGTCTAACTTGTAGAAAACTGCTGCTAAGAGGGGTGCGAATAACGTAAGCGCGCCATTATTCATAAGTGGAATTTTTCGATGTTTTTTTCAGAATAATTAGCGGAAAATCGGAATCTGGAATCTGTTTGCATGTGAACCCGAACCCGAATCTAAACATGAGGCCAATACAGTGCAACGCCACAACGCTGAAAATTTTTGATCACCGTACTAGACCCTGGTCTGAATAGCATTTAATAAAAAAAATATTTTCAGAAAAGTAGAGTGCCAGTCGACCTCAATACCCGAATGGGCCCCTGAACATACTTTGCACGAAACACATCTGAGAGAGCATCGCGTCGCTGGGGCTTATCGAAGGAACAAATGACAAAACATGCTATTAAAAAACGATTAAGAAATGCACCTGCAGCAAGCACTGGGCCGAGATCGATCGAACAGATAGGCGAGAACGAGTACATAATGTAAATCAGACGCACGCGAAAAGCTGACTAAGATCGACGCAGAGAAGACATGTCAAGCGAAAGCAAAGCAAGAGGCGAAAGTCAGAGGTGGAGGATAGCTGCAGCGAACGTACGCGAGACACGAGACACATTCTACTCACTGACGACGGCATTCGATGACTGCACGTTAGCCAACCGCTGACTAGGCGATGCACCGGTCTGCAGTACGTTCGAAGCGTGTTCAACGTGGATCACTGTGTTCTCATGCTTTAAGTTGTTACCTGCGGGTAGAACATAAAGCGGCGATGAGCAAAGAATCGAACATCAGCGAAATGTGTCAGCATGAGCTACACACTACACCACATGAAGTATGCGAAACAACACAACCATCAAAAACTGACGCAGAAATAAAACAAGAAACAAGAAGGAACAACCGATCGATGACCATGATGCAGAGACAAGGTCAAACTGCTGAAACGACGACCAACCTGCAACTGGCTGAGTCGTCGTTCGGTCGGTCAGTTGACGGATGATCGTTGTAAGGCTGCAGTCAAAAAAAGAGTAGAAGGAAATGGCGACGACACAAGTAGGCAGGCCAGCCGACAACGAGGGTTAAGCCGAGCAGCTAAGGGCCAGGAGCAGAACGGTGGCGAAGGACAGACGGACGACTGAGCCAACGGACATCACCCCATTAATCCATCCATCCAGCGGCGGCAGCGGAAGCGGAAGCAGAAGCGTTGATCTCTGACTCACAGTTCGCACTCAGCAAATGATCCCTCCTCAGAGACCAAGGAAAGGCAGAACGACACCGCGGACGACGACAAAGACAATGACGCGCTGCTCAACGCGCATCGTTTCTCACCTTTCGTGTCAACGTCCGCGTCGTCAAGTGTCTGCGATGATTCGGATGACTCTTTGGTAACCGGACCAGATTCTTTCTTGGCGATCAAATTCTTGTCTAAAGCATGAATGGTTAGCCGGTCCGATTAACTGAACATTAAGCGAATGAACAAAACAGTAACAGTGAAAACTGTTAAAGTGTTAACATGCTAAGGTACACATAAATTGGCAGACGAGCCGCCGTTTTCCAAAACACTTGCACCGCAACGCAGAGTCAAAGCTATTTCAAATGAACATTCACATGCACCAGCAACAGAGCCAACACACACGCTCGCCAAGTGTCTCGGCTCCATCAGAGTTTCACCTGCAGCAATTCCGGACACGACCCCCGGTTTCAGGGCAAGCAACGTCACAGTGTTCTTGCAGTAATGGTAGCACTGGTAGCCAAAAGTAGAAAATGAAGATACTAGCAGCAAAAGCAGCAGCGCTGCAAACAATGCAGCTACCACTAAATCAGCCGAGGTAAAGAACATTGGCGGCGTACGACGATCGATTGACGATCAACGAACGACACTCCTTTAGTGACGGATGGAAAATACGGCTATGTAGCGCCTGTTCCTCGACGAATGACGACGACTTGGAAAGAAAAACCGAAACTGCATGCTGCTGAAAGGCAAGAATTCGCAACAATCTCGACTCTAACATCGGCAACTATGCCACGTGAGCAACGAAGCTAC